TGTGAGGTGTAAAATAAATTCAATAACAGTTTTTTGCATTTTTCCAACAATTGTTTAGAGAATATAATTATATGAATTTTTAAATGAAAATCTTTAACATTATTAAATAATTTTTATTTTATCAAGTGGAAACAAAAATTCTAGAAGAAAATTTGTAAAACTACTGTATGGTATTTTACAAAAGATTCATTACTTTTATAGTTTATTATGAATATTTTACAATGTTGTTTATGGTCCCTTATATTATAAAACGATACACATAACAATAGCTTTAACAAAACATTTATCAAAAATAACAATTATACTAGGAATTATCATTATATTATTATTATTATTATTGATAATTTTTATAATTGACAATACTGAAATTTTGAGATCCCATTTTCAAAAACATATCATTATTTAATGAAATTAATTAAGTAAAATAATTATACTTCTGTGAACATAGTAATTCTTTCAATATTAAGAAATCTAAAGACAATAGGTGAAATATAAGTTATCATTATTCCTATTGTTGTATATGTTATAAATTTGTATGACATTTCAACTACAGTTTTCTGTTTTGTTTCTAGAGCATTTGGATCTAGTCGAAGTATATAACACACAATAGCATAAGATAAACTTTTGAAGAACGCTCTTGAAGCAACAACACACAAAATTCCTATTGAAGCACGTAATAAGGCCAATCCTACTAAAGTATAATCTGGCCAAATTATTTGGTAGGGAGGTGGCAATCCTGGTCCACGAATAATTCCAAGTTGAAAATTCAACCATGCACCTAAATAAATACCAGCTCCAGTTCCAAGAATTATTGTTGTATCACCTCGAGCTGGTGATCGTCTATCTGATTTAGGATAAAGTATAGCCATTGCAACTGAAGCACTGAGAATAACTAATGGTGAATAAACGCATGTCAATTGGAAGTGATCAATGTAATCCACCAGTGGAACAACAATAATCATCAGTAATGATACTAGAACCAAACCACCAATTATATCCTTTAAAATAGAAGTTTCAAAAATATTAATTATCATTTTAGATGTTATAAAATAACTTATTAATAATAATAAATTCAAAACACTAAATAATTTATTATTATTTCAGCAATATTAAGTGAATTTTAATGACATTAAAATATTGTGATTATACAATTAATTATTTTAGTTACTATGAGTTCTATTTGATATGTTAAATAAACAGAACAAAAAAAAGGGTTAAATCAGATATTTTTAAAACATTCAAAATGAACAAAATAAGTACAGTAAATAAAAAACATGGCTGAAACAAATGATTGAGTGTACTAATATTTGACCAAAATATTAAAAATCCTTTTAGATATGAATTTCAAAGAATTTTTAAAGTTATGTATTTATTGAGAAGTTTCAGATTGACTAAGTTAATGATAATTACTTTAATCTTCATTAAATGTAATGTTGCTTTTAATTTAAAATTTCTTTTAACTATAGTATAATTTCAAATTTATAAAAATATTATAACTTATAATTCAATTTCTTATTTTTTTATCTGCTATAATTAATATTTGATTCTGAATAAAAACATCTGATGAAAATCAAAGTTTTTTTTTTATCAATAAATGTAGTCAAAATTTGTCACAATTTTTAAATTTCAACCAGCAATAATTATCCCTCAGATAAACCTCTCTAAAATATAACCCTTGTATTAAGCTGTTTGTCATTGCTTTTTTTTTTGTTCATAAACTTTATTGTTTTAAATATTGTATATAATCTTTATATATTCTACAAAGTCAACATAGTCCTACTTATAAATGTTCTATATTATTATTTTAAGTTTTATTAACTGTCAATGCCATTAATATTTAAAAAATATATATATTGAACAGTATTAACACATTTGCTATTTATTCTTTAATGCATATCCACAAAATTTAGAAAAATGAAATAGATTTGATTATTATTATTTTATTTTATTACAACACACTTCATCTTGCACTCTTCTTTAGAATAATATTTTCCTAAAGAAGTGCATGAGATGAAGTGTTGGAAAATCAAAAAGAAGGAGGAAGGGAGTGGGAAGTTGCATCAATCCAAAGAAGGGCCAGAAGAAGAGAACTCAAGGAAAGAAGAAATTGATAGCAGAGACAAATGAAGTTGATGCTCCCATAGTTACCAGCCGAAAAAGAGGAAAAAGTGTCAAAAAGGAAGAAATCCACACAAAACAGAAGAAAGTTTTGTTAAATCTGGTGTTTTTGCAGTTAAATAGTATTTTTTTTTATATTACTAATATTTATTTCCATGCATAATTAAAATATTTTGTTTCAGTATGAATCAATAAACTTAAAATAAACTGCTACAGCTTTGTTTTGAAAAGCTTTTCATGCTTGCAGTTACAGGTCTCATCAGAAATCAACTATCTGTAAAGTCAATTAGTATAAGCCAGACTGATGGTCTGAAATAGATACTGTGTGTCCATGAAGCAAGTTATTTGTATATAATGTGCTTGCAACAATTGACATATTTAGCTGATTAGATTAATTGTACATTTAATATCCAAAATTTATAGTTTCATATCAATATTTGGTTATTTTATAGAAAAATTTATCTTGCTTTACAAATTTTACATTTTAGCAATGGTGTTTATAAATACTTGTTCTAGCATGTTGAGAAAATTTGATAATGTGCCATTCACTATTAATATTTTAAAAAAGTAATGATTACTTGAAATATAAAATTTGTGAACTCAATAATGACTATAAAATTCCATGCTACTTTATGCTATATATTATTACAAATAAATTAGATTTTTAACTTAAAAAAATCAAACTTTTGCAATAAATGTAATAATTAAAACTTCAAAAATAATAAAATTTTAAATAAAATGTTTCTTTCACCTACAAGCAGATGATCTATTTATAACGAATGAAACTGTTCTCTAAATTACAGATAAAGCTTTAAAAAAAATATGTTTTTCAAACTGATACCTATATAAATTTAAAATTTATGGATTTAACAACTCTAAATATTACTATTTGCCATAATTACTATAACCATTCTGAATTCTATGAATATTCAAGGAAGTTAAAAAGTACAGTGATGTGTGTTAGCATTGTTATTTTATAACTTTTTACTAGAATTTTATCTTGTAGTCAAATACTTTTCCTTTTTAAAAAACGATAAAATTTTTAAACAGGAAGATTTGTGAATTTTTCCTTAGAATATAAAAAATTAAATTAAGATATACTAAGCTCTCTCTCTCTCTTTTTATTTTTTCTACATTTCATTATCTCATTGTCTTATCCTAATTTAACAAGGAAATTATTCTTGTGTTTTCTAATGCACATGTTTATTAAATATAAAATGAAAATATTAATGAAGATTAAAATAATTATATATAAAAATATAATTATATGAATTTTTAAATGAAAATCTTTAACATTATTAAATAATTTTTATTTTATCAAGTGGAAACAAAAATTCTAGAAGAAAATTTGTAAAACTACTGTATGGTATTTTACAAAAGATTCATTACTTTTATAGTTTATTATGAATATTTTACAATGTTGTTTATGGTCCCTTATATTATAAAACGATACACATAACAATAGCTTTAACAAAACATTTATCAAAAATAACAATTATACTAGGAATTATCATTATATTATTATTATTATTATTGATAATTTTTATAATTGACAATACTGAAATTTTGAGATCCCATTTTCAAAAACATATCATTATTTAATGAAATTAATTAAGTAAAATAATTATACTTCTGTGAACATAGTAATTCTTTCAATATTAAGAAATCTAAAGACAATAGGTGAAATATAAGTTATCATTATTCCTATTGTTGTATATGTTATAAATTTGTATGACATTTCAACTACAGTTTTCTGTTTTGTTTCTAGAGCATTTGGATCTAGTCGAAGTATATAACACACAATAGCATAAGATAAACTTTTGAAGAACGCTCTTGAAGCAACAACACACAAAATTCCTATTGAAGCACGTAATAAGGCCAATCCTACTAAAGTATAATCTGGCCAAATTATTTGGTAGGGAGGTGGCAATCCTGGTCCACGAATAATTCCAAGTTGAAAATTCAACCATGCACCTAAATAAATACCAGCTCCAGTTCCAAGAATTATTGTTGTATCACCTCGAGCTGGTGATCGTCTATCTGATTTAGGATAAAGTATAGCCATTGCAACTGAAGCACTGAGAATAACTAATGGTGAATAAACGCATGTCAATTGGAAGTGATCAATGTAATCCACCAGTGGAACAACAATAATCATCAGTAATGATACTAGAACCAAACCACCAATTATATCCTTTAAAATAGAAGTTTCAAAAATATTAATTATCATTTTAGATGTTATAAAATAACTTATTAATAATAATAAATTCAAAACACTAAATAATTTATTATTATTTCAGCAATATTAAGTGAATTTTAATGACATTAAAATATTGTGATTATACAATTAATTATTATCATACAAATATACATTAAACATTGAATAAAATATTACTTGTAAAACAAACCATAAAATAATATATTATATGAAGGAAAGTCAGTAAGTCACAAATGGCATTTTTAAAAATGCCAAGACAGACAGAAGAATGAAACAGTTAGTTTTGGAAGTCAACAACTCTATTTTTCAACATATAAGCCCTGGTCAAAAGTATGGAATAATGTTATAAATCCATGCATTACAATATTTCAAAGGCAAGTTTTAAAAAATATTTAATGTTTGCTTGTTGATTGCTTTTGCAAATTTTGAAACAATATATTTGCATAATCATCATTTTACTAATCAAGAGCAATGTTCCCTCTAAGCTGCGCACGAGAATTTATGTGCTGCACAGGCAAGTGTGCACACTGATTTGAATTGTTTACTTATTTCTCACTCTGTCTGCAACATGATTATTGCTGCGTATATTTCGATTAAATACATTAAATCATTGACAAAAGATAATATTTTGTATAAAAGTATGTTTTAAAATAAATTTTAATCTCTTTATAATTAATTATTTTAAATTTACTTTATAATTAATTATTTTAATTTTTATAGGAAAAAATAAGATTTTATATATACAGTAGAGCATTGATTATCTGACCCCCGATTAACCGTCACATCGGTTAACTGACCGTTCTAGTCGGCAAATTTCAAATGTCCGCTAATGATGTGGCATTATAATATTTGGCTATGTCTTGGCTACTATAATATTATTTTTGTTAAATTTTTGCGTGTTTTAGCTGGCATCAACGGCTCGACCATTGAAGGGAGGCCAATATTTAAACGAGACTTAATTTTCTAATTACGAGTGGTTGTTTGTTTTGTGAGCAATAAAATAATTTTAAAATAATTTTTTACGATACAATAGCAACGATTATTATTTTAAAAAAAATTTGTTAGGCTAAACATCAATGAAAATTCAACGCAAAGTTGGTTAATAGCAATATACTAATAAACTAATGGGATATACTAATATCCTAATATACTATACTAATAATGTATTTTTTCCTTCTTTTCGGTTATCCGATTTTTTCAGTTATCCGATCAACCTGAGTCCCTAATTGAGTTGGATAATCAATGCTCTACTGTATATATATGCTCAGCAAAAATTTTTTTGTTTAGAGAAGTATATGTTCTGCTCATCTACAAAAAAAAAAATTACAGGGAACATTGATCAAGATTAGAGGCAAAAAATATGGAATACTAGCATAGCAGGGACAAAAGTTTAGAATATGACAGGTATAAATTCCATATTAAAATTAATTTAGTGATACTGTTATTGCATAACATCACACTTCAAAATTGAATCTGCAGAACTGTAAGTGTGCTTAATGTTTGCATTCTAAAACTATGCCAAAAATATCAGAATTGAGTGATGCAAACAAACCGTTGATAATTTCATATTACAGGCATGATGAAAAGCAGCAGATAATTACAAAATACATACAATGTACACAAATTGTGTCTAAAATTATAGCTAAATATAAAGCATAAGGAACTATCTCCAATCAACGTAGATGTAAACATTCCACATAATTATGGCATAAATCTTCCTCCTTTCATGATTTGATTGATTGATCTGAATTGATTTTTTTTATTGTTGACAGAAATCTTTATTTTAAAAATATTTTTATACATAATAAGTAATAGCAGTTTTAAAGTATTGCTCTTATGCATTCTACTAATTTAAAATTTTCTTAAAATTTCTAAATATTTTAAGGTTCTTATTTATATAACTAATTCTGCAGGTGCTTTACATACACATATAACAAAAATACTTACATGTGCTTTATTATCATGTGAAAAACATTAATTGTTTCTTATACATTTTCACATGCCATATCAACCCATTTTTATACAAGATTATTTTACTTAAATACATATACAGTAATAAACATTTTTACGTAAACTTACCAAAACTGTATGCATTCCCATGTAAAGACGACTAATGCATACTAGAAGACAGCAAACTGAACAAATGAAGAGTCCTACGGCAAACTGATACTAGAAGTAGATTAAAAATAAATAAATATACTTTAATTTCAAGATTTTAAAGTTAATTTAAGTTAAATTATTCATAAATAATAAACAGTTATAGTTAGTAAAGATAAAAATAATGATAATTTAGTTAACTTTCATGAAGAAATTAAGTAAAAACTTGCATTTAAGTTCCCTTGGTTTCATTAACAAGTAACAAAATATTATGAGGAAAAAAATTTAATTCTAAACAATTGATTACACTTGTAAAAAACTGGGTAAAAACTGAAATATAAAATAAAAATGACACTTTAAAAACATTTTCAACTCAGAATTAATGGATCCTACCCTTAATTAAATGTAGCATTATTATTATAGCCTGATGTAATCCAGAACCATTTGGCATAAATCTAAAAAATTAGGTTAATAGATGTTTACATTTGAAAAAAAAAAGCTTTTAAGTTTTATCTATTCTAGCATGTAAATTGTTAATTTTATTCAATATATATTTTGAATAGAATAACACATTATATATATATATATAACATATTTTTGAAACGCTCAATTGAGAAAGCACAAAAATAACTAGTAATAAATGAAGAAAAAAAAAGTTGTAAATTGTAATGCACCTCGATAACTGGTTTATATACCAGTAACAACAAACATTTAATGAAAACTAACATTTTCGACTGTAAAACAATTGCAGTTCTTTCAAATTTTAGCAAATTCATTTTTTGCTTTTAAATTTAGCATATTGTTTATTTGTGATGATGATACAATTTACTAAAATTTCAGTCTCCATAGAATTTAGATCTTACACACCTACTTATTATATAAAAAATTTTAACAAATTCATTTTTTTTTGATGTTTAGAATTTTTAAATTAAAAAAAAAAATATATATATATATATATAAATACNTAAATGTGAATTTTGAAAAAATTTATATATATATAAATTCTGATATATATCAGAATTTTTAATGACTTAATAAGAAATCAATTTTAACTTGTTTTAACAGATGAAAAAAAATACAAAATGTAGTTTTTTTATTGTATTTTTAAATGTATTTTTATTGCAATGTCATTTGGATTAAAAATAAAATTGATTTATTAAATAAAAACGATTGGAGATACTGCCTATTCAAGTCTATTGCCTATTTCTCACCTGGTCATCCTCTACTTGTTTTTATAAAATTAATTTCACTATTGAATAAGGTAAGACAAAGTAAAATACAAATCTATCTTCATCTGGATATAAATGTATGAATATTAATTTTATCAACATTTATATTCAGTTGCTGTTAGAACAATGATGAGGCAGTCCTTTCACTTAGAATTAAACTTTAATCTAAGACTATACATGCACTTATTCATAACTTGGTGGTCACCTGATAACAGGTCTTTTCTTCTTTCGAGTGGTCTTGCATGGTGTTGTCAGTTCACACACAGTTTGCAATATCGATACTTGTATTAGTTTAGTATTCCCTAACAGTTGCATATTTTTTAATATGATAATAAAACAGTAAGAATCTATCTTAATTTAAAAAAAAAAATCCTTGTTTGAAATTTGCATTCATATTCCAATTTTTAACATGAATGAAATTATTACAAAAGTTGCTTCTAGCCCTTGATATAATTATATTAATTAAATTATCAACAACTGTGAGGTAAATAATAGTGAGGACTTATCAGACCAATGATGGGCATAAATACTCAGTGATCAAAGTGAAAACATTTAATAAACACAAAAATGACTACATAATTATGGAAATGAAAATCCCAAAATGCATTTCAGACTATTTTCTGATAGAAAGTAGTCCCTCATCAGTTGGTATTAACTAAAGTTAATGGTATATTAAAATTATACAAGATAAAGGTAAACTTAAAACTATGCCTAAAGCTGTACAATATAAAGATGAAAACACCGCTGTATTCTGAACTGCAGAGTATTCTGAATACTCTGCAGTTGCTAAACACTGCAATCTATATGGATGTGAAATAAATAAAAGTATGATAAAAACACTAAAATTTGAAACTAACACCTATAAATGTAAATACAATGGTACCTCGGTATACGTCTGCTTTAGAATATGTCCTGTTTGGACGAAACAAATTTTGCTCGGTATATGACTTTTGTTCGGTATATGACTTAATTCAATTATACGCGCCATCTATGAATAAGTAGCACTTTCGGTGTACTAGACTAGACTAGACGTTTGCGATGCCACAGTTTCTAACTTTGTTAAATTTCTTCTGATTTTAATTTATAAGTAAAATTTTATTATTTTTATTAATCATGAATTGCAAAAAGGCAAGTGAAAAGCAACAGAAAACTAAAAAAAATTACTAGAATCACAATGGAACTGAAAAAAGAGATTGTTGAGGAATATGAAAGTGGCATGCGTGTTCGAGATTTAACTGTTGCATACCGTATTCCAAGAACGACGATATTGACAATCGCGAAAAATAAAGACATTATTAAATCTGCTAACATTGCGAAAGAGATTAAATCAATTTCTAAACACAGATCGAAGACATTAGATCATGTTGAGAAATTGCTTTTGCTTTGGATAACTGTAAAACAGTTTGCTGGCGACAGCGTATCAGAAGCAATTATTTGCGAGAAAGCTAAAAAGATACATGCTGATCTCATGAAAAATCAAGCAGGAACTAGCCAGGAAAGTGAGGTGTTTAAAGCCAGACATTTTTTTTTTTTTTTACATGATAACGGATTAATCATTTTTACATTACTTTTTATGGGAAAGGTTGGTTTGTATACATTCTATTCGGTATAAGTCCAAACATTAGGAACGGATTAAGGTCATATACCGAGGTTCCACAGTATTTTGAACATAGAGATTTTAAAAATTAATAATGTTAATAGAATTAATGATAATCTAGTTGATAATGTTAAAATTGATGAAGGATGGCACAATTATATCTTTTAAAAACTAAATATCTTTGTAATGTTACAACTATATATTGTTAAAAACTGTTGTAAACTTGTAATTATATAATATGTTGTCACCATTTGTGGAGGTGCCGTGCAAAAGCAAACAAATCCACAAAAAACCAAAATTGAATTTATAATTGATTTTTTTCTTCGGCCTCATTCCTATCTACTGTTATAGTCAGTTTCATTCAAAAAAATATGCTTCCAACACTTTTTGAGCTTTGAAAATCGACGTTCTGTGCAAAAAAGAACATCTCTTTACATGTGTTCTAAGCAGAACAAAACATATCCATTGCAGTCTGCCTCAGCCAATGAAGAGCTATGATCGAGTCACGTGACTTCCAGAATGCAATAGGTGGTCTTGTTTTTGTTGTTCTGTTGGAACAGAGATTTTGATGTTAAAATGTTTATTAGTACACATTTTATTATACAGTGTATTTCAGTGTTATAATTGAGTGAAAATGGATAAAGATGGTTTGATAAGTGTAGAAGAAGGCAATGCTGGATCTAGAAAGAAACCTAAAACTGTTGGAGTAAGGGCAAAGAAGAAAATACAAAAATACAGTGCTCCTTTGGGATGAAATTTGAGGAGCCAGTCGAGCAACTACCTGTAGGGTACTCTCTGTCAGCTGCCAAGAAAAAATACATTGAATCACTTTTAAATGATGAAAGTTTTTCATGGTATAAACAAGTGTTATGAAATAGAACCAAGCTTGAAGCAGATGACCCAGAAAAAGAAAATACAGTAGAGCGTCGTTTATCCGAAGGAACCGACATTTATTCGGATAACCGAAACGTCGGTTATCCGAAGGAATTCCAGTCGACAAATTTAAATTTTCGCCAGTGCTGTGGTGCTGTAATCTTTGGCTATGTCTTCAGCTACTCAAATATTTTATGTTTTTGATAGTAAATTAACTTCTGAAGTATAATTTTTTATTGTTTTTATATTTTTCAATATATTTATTTTGTTTGTACAAAATAAAAAAAATAATTTTTAACGATACAA